AGTATTGGATTTGAGTTCCTCTGTGCCATAGACTATCATTGACTAACCCTGAAGCTCCTATTATTTATATCCTGTAAGTTTATTCCTTTTAAAACAGCAGTAAAACAATAACAAAAGACTTATATTGATGATGTCATAAAGCAGTGTGGGATTGTGGGAGTTGTTGTCTTCACCACTATTGCCTTTAAAAATCTGCCTGACTCAACTTGGGCACAAATCATGTTCTTGGGGTAATGTAGTAAAGTTCTTTTCGAAATGCTGATGAATACAAACAGTGGAAGGTTAAAAACAGGCTAACCGGCTAAAAGTGTGGTTCTCATTTAAATCACAGAGGCATTTTAAAGAAGAATTGTTACATTATATATCTTTTATTAATCTTAGTACGTAACTTAAAGTTCACAGAAAATGTCATTAGATACCAGACGTAAAGAAATTGCAACACAATATTTGAAATAAAGATTTTACTTGGCCTGTAATTAGAATTTCTATCTCAGGTGCTGTGCAATAAACAGAAACCCTATTTCCTCCCCACAAAATGACCCCATGTCTCCCAGCTCAGCCAATCAGATCGACCAGGTGACCTCAATATCCTGGTCCATCCAATCAGAACATCTAAATGTGTCGTGGAGCGGTGAGCTCTGCTGTCGAGGTGTCACTAAGTGCCCTGGTTGAATGATTTTCCCAGGTCTTGAACTGTTCTTGCCCCTGGTTGACTGGTTGTTTATGGCTGCATGGAAAAGGGTTGTTGTGCACGGCTCAAAATTTTCCCTGATTTCACACATTGCACTATTTTTTTTATGAGCAAACCATCCAAAGGCCGCAGCTCTGTAGCGGAATAAAAAGACGTGAGACACGAAGAGGAATTAAACAATTATACGATGTCAGTTCGAGAGCCGAGAGGTCATAAAGTATGCACGAGCAGAAAACATGTTGAAACATTTTCCTCTTGCCTGGTCTGAAGCCGCTTCATAAGGATGACTCTTCGCTAAGTGCCAGGTTGAATTATGGAGGCACTAGCGCAGGAACACTTTAACTGATGTATGAATATGCAATCGTGCCTCAATCCCGGGCCTGAAATCAATCAAACAGACATTCAGGGGCTATTCTGAGCCTCACCACCTGCACCCTCACACTCTGTGGTCGTCTGTGAGGTTAGGATCCGTCTCTCCTTCCCTGCAGTTATAAAACTCTGGGATCTCGTGGCTCTACAGTTTACCTCCGTATAGATTTGACCACATGACACGGCCGACATCTTTATCTCCTCTAACTGTTCATGCCGTGTGTTTTTTATTTTCAGTAGCGAATAGCAGTAAGATTTACTGCAAATGCTTTTAATTTTTCATCGCCGTGGTTCGTCACGAGGAGTTCCTGAGAGTAAGGAAGTGATTAACATAACACATCTGTTCATGCAGTGACATCACACGATCCTTTGTTTTATTCCTGATTGAAATGATTCCATTTCCAGAATCAACGATCCTCCAGTAACTTCTGGAATCACTCCTAGAAAAAATAAAAATAAATCAAATCCAACTCAGTTATATTTTAAGAAAGGTCTCTCTGTCCACCAAATTTAGTTTTTACTCTTTGGCAGTGGTCGATACTAAGAAATGATTTTGCTCAAGTACTGTACTTGGAATTTGAAGGTACTTTACTGCAGTTTTTCCATTTTTATGAGACTTTACACTTCTGCTCTGCTGCATTTCAGAGGAGGGTTTTAACCTTGCAACTTAAATGTTGTTAAAACAACTGATCTGCAAAGATCTAGTGACTGATTTCATGTAATCATTAATAGAAACACCAATAACACCAGTTTCATGAGCTACAACATTACAGTTCTGCTTTACACATATTTGTAGTCAAGCAATACTTGCATACATCTGCCAAGGCCCCTTTTGTCGACACATTTAAATTCACTTTAGACAGAGATTATCTAGGATTCACAACAAATTACACATAGTCCTAAATATCAGTCCCATAAACATTCTTGATTATTTTTTAAATCAAGATCCAAACTTAACTTAAAGTTCTGAATGCAAGATTTTTCTCTGGAACAGGGTATTTTTACATTTTTAGTGGTATTTCTGCTTCTTCCACCTCTGTTATTCTATAATGATTTTTAGGCCTGTTTCTCTCTGTAGGACTGAGGAGGGACAGAAAGCATGTAGGGTGGAAGGGTGAGGAGGGGTGAGGTGAGTGTTGAGGCGTATGCAAGTGTGCAAAGTCTGGGCAAAAGGCCCAGACTGCATTTGCAGCCGACTGCACGTGAAAGCCTCCAGGGCACATCAGGCAAAAGCCCCAGTGTTTAGAAGAAGGAAAAAAATAGGGCTTCTTATTATTGAAGTAACTCACCAGTAAACACACACACACACACACACACACATCCTTCCCAAACCTCAGTGATGTCAACAGCAGAGTGGTGTAGTAGCTGTACCTCCTGGAATGACAGCAGCGGTGATATCTGGCAGACCATCACATGCTCATGTCACCCGGTGAATGATGGGAGCTCTGCGTCCAGGCCCAGACTGTGTCCAGGTCTCGCTCAGCTCCGACAGGCGCTCAGGCCCGCTCTCCAGCTACATGTGAATTACTCGCATACATTAAAATACATGGCAGAGAAATTGCCTGAGAGCGGAGGTCAGAGCAGCTAAATGTGCGAGTTCAGCCGCCCCGACAGAAGGAACGTGTTGCTGCAAGTGCATTTAGAATGTGTCAGCTCAGTAGTCACAGTAGTTTGCTGTTGCAGTGATTTGTACTCATTTGTTGCTCTAGAGGTTTGTGATTACGGCCCATGTGAATCCACTTGTCAGGCATATTTAAAAACGAACAAGGATAATGCTTATCATCGGCATTTCCTATAAGTCTGGAACGTTTAGTTTGTGTATATAAAGTGTGATATAACCTCTTGCCCTGTGCTATATGATATGTTCTTTCTTTAAGAAAACCATGGACACTGTAGTTTAAGTCAACACCAACATTCACTATCATGAAATACTGTCAACACACCAAAACTGTATTCATCCAATGTTTGCAGTTCGAAGAAATCCCCCTTTTCACAAATTAAAGTATTTATTTTTGGCAAACTTTTCAAAATTTACATCTATGCATCGTCAGTTTTGGTCTTTTAATGGGGAGTGAGAAAAATATTATGTAACTCGAACCTGTTCTTTAAGATTTTAGTCTTTTCTTTTACTGGTGTTTTAATTAAATGTAAAATAAAACTTTCAATGCCACCATCTTAAACGATTATTTTTAGCCTGTATCTTTCTATGCTTCTACTGTATTTCTCATGGTCCTGTATTGGATTGGCCTAATAACTTGCGTTACATGGTAATAACTTACCAACATAGTATCTGTATCAGGGATGGCCCATGACACAACTTTATCCAGCTGGTGAGAGAATTCATATTCAATACAAAACTCAAATATAAAAAGATTTTTTTCTTCGATATAAACGAGTGGATTACCATCACCTTCAGGTTGGTCCAACTGTATCTGTTGGGTCAAGACCAGAGTGAATGAAACTTATTCGGAGTGGTAACATGTCATCGATGACTAGCTTCGTAGTAACTGTCAGGAAAAGACCAGTAAATGTGGAATGTTGTACTTTCCAAAAGGAAAATTATTCTTTTTGTGTGTAATAGATGAGCCAGTTTGTCTTGTTTACAAAGAAGCAGTTGCCGTGATGAAAAAGGCCAATTATCCATGTTATACTGGGTGAGTTGCAGAGGACAGTGCTCTTGGATAAAGTTCAAGTTCTTGGACGTAGTTTGTTGCCAAACAAGCAGCTTTCACACACACTCACCACATTTTGACAGCGTGTGTTATTTGGGCAAGTTATGCGGTGAGTGAACCTATAGCTAAGACTCTGAAACCTCGAAGTAGATTGTCGCCCGTCTGGATATTTTTATGTGTGGAACCACTGTCGAGTTTGATAATAGAGTTACTGTAATCCATGGATTCCACCACCAAAGGTGAGGATTTGTTTGAGCAAGTGGTTTTGGCTAGAGCCTGCTGTTAATAGCATCATCATCACGACCATCTGGCATCAGATGCTTGGCCGAAGGGAAACAGTTCCAGCCTTCACATCAGAGACGTCAGTGTGATATATGTAGTCAGTAATTTAGTATGAACTGTGAAGGATGTTGAGTGAGATGACCCTTTATGAAAAATTAAATATATGTATATTCATATTTTATGTATGTATATGTTTAATATGCATTATACAAAGCTGTTGTGCATATTCATTACGGCAGAAAGGTTGTATATATATCTTTAGCATCTATATAGCAGCATTGTTTGTGTTGTCGGACAATTGAGGAACAAAAAACTCAACAGACAAGTTATTTGTTTGCAACAGTATTCAGATTTAAGAGACTTTTTAACCAATTAATAAATAACCTTGTCACTCCTTGTCCAAAAGTTCATTGTGTGATAATATTTACATCATAAATTAAATAAGAAACTAAAGACATTCAACATTTTTAGATAAGTTGGTATCAATCATTTTTACCCTTTCACCCTCTCAACAATACAAAAACAGATGGTTTTCAATTGCATGTGGAGCAGAATTGAAAATTTAAAGCATACTCTACATATGCTAATATGTCAGGTAAAGCTTGAAGTAAAAACAGGAAAAAAAAATCATACTCTGATATGTAAACTATATCATTTTAGCCACAACTGTAAATCAATACATACAATATCTATGTTTAGAGGTCACGGGGAGATTACAAGTTGCTTTTGTAATCTCTTTGTGCTCTAAGTGACGGCGTTTCACATACACATTAAAACAGTTCAAAGTTGTCCTGCATAATTTACACTTTTACATATCAGAGGCATTTTTTTTTCTTTCTGTTTTTCCACTAGATTCTTTTTTTCTAGTCTAATGTCGGTGTCATCCGAACACCAAAACTAATTTAATGCCACCAGTAAAGTTTCTACTTGGACAGGAAGAAATGACACATACAGAAAATAGCCCACTGACAAATAAATACCAGGAAACACTGACATCTAACAATAGCGAAATGCTCACCGTTCCCATGATGCACATGTGTCAAACATTATGTTCTGTGCAATGGAGTTTTTAGGTGAAGGGGCAATGGAACAACACATTTGCTTACTGCCTTTGGAAATCGTGTCCGGGACAGATTAACTCACATGGCCAATGATGCGTAAGACATTTGGAACAGAAACACTGGCTTGATGTTTAACCAGATTCAAAACTTGGGTCGCCTTTGCAAGGAAGGGAATTCAGTGCCATTAAAATATTACTGTATTCCTTTGTTTTGGAGCAGACCTCCGCCCTGTGCTAGGTGACGTACCAAATATTAGTTCTTTAACACAAGTCATTTAGAGTCTTGGAAAATCATCCTCTGATGACACGGAGGGCGAATGTCATGATACTCAGGCCTGATGAAAACAGAAATTGCACTGACTGAGCCAGAGAGGGCGCATGGACACAGTGCAAGTACCTTTCAGTCTTTTTTTATTATTGTTTTTTCCATCAAGCACCTGACCAGTGTTAAATGTGCACACAGCACCACCTTAATTTAACATCCTCATTTAGAGAACACAATCTGTCTGCAATAGGTATCGTCAGCTCCCGTTGGTTATGATAACTGAGGTGGCTTTGTGTCCCTGCATCTGCTCTGCCTGCATCCTCACATGAGATGCCACATCATACTGGACTCCTCCACAGGCCAGTCCAGAGTAACTACGCAGGTTCTCCGGGTCATACAGGTGCTCCAGGGAGTACCCAGTCAAAGCATAGGCTGCTTGTCTGTCCAATGGCCGACTCTCCTGGGTTGGATAGATCAGCGGGCTCCCCTGGGGCTGTGAATGGTGGGGGGACAGATCAGTCGGCATGTAGTCTTTGGTGAGGGAGAGGCCCGACCTGGGGATCCCATCAGAGCTGGGGCTGCTGAGACGGGATAAAGAAGCAGGACTGGTAGTGTTTTCGTCATTGTCATGGGGGCCATGCACTTTGATGGCATCCCGGTGATGGAGGCGCTCAGAGGGGAGGTCGATGCTGGGTGCTCCTGGGCCTCGGCACACAACACTGGGCATGGTGAGCTGGGAGTGGTGGGGTAATGAGGAGTTGAAGCATGGGCTGTGAGCTTTGGCGAGCCCTGAGACATCCAGCGGCGCCTTGTGTTGCTGCAGACGGCTCTCTTCCTCTTTGATCATCTGCTGCGTGGCACGAATCAGGGTCTCCATCTTGCTTGGCTCTCGAGGGCTTGCCCGAAAGTGGTCACCGTGGTAACGCTCACCTGAATCGCTGGTGGACCCGCCTCCATCAGGTGAACTCACTACACTGTCTTCATCCCAGTGACTACGTCCTGTGAGGAGAGTTGAATTGGTCACATTTTAAAATGGTGAAATAAATAAATTACAATGCGTTAGTAATCAATTCCTTATCTCTACCTTGTGTCTACTCATATAATTTCTGTACTTAAAACCACGAGTCTGTATAGCTTTGCACAACTTTACTTTAAATGCATATAGAATCTTGTTCTATTAGACTGGATGTCTTGGCAGAAACACAGTGGGGGTTGTTTCACTGTTTGAGGATGTGAAATGTGAAATAACTTGGCTTTCAATTGCAGGCAATTTTTGAACAGATGGTAGCAATCGGCACCCTGGCAAGAGATGCCGTAAACAACTTAGAATGTCTCATAATAACATTTGAAAAACAGCTACCAGGAGAAGTCAGGCCAGAACTATTTGCAGAGACAGATGGTAGTGGTCTCAACCCTAACACCTCACCATGAATGGCTCCATGGTACGATGTGATTTCGTAGGCTTCGCTGTTCTCCAGCGAGGGTTTCGGCAGCGAGAGAACAGAGCGTGTGGCATCCCACCAAACCTCTCTTCCTGACTGGGGGGTTCCTAGGAAGTATCGGCTGCTCTGGCATCGGACGCGGTCACAGGTGGTGGTGTGGGGATGTGCTTGGGCATGGGCGAGATCTTCTTCAGATAAACCAAGGCCATAGCACAGGGAGCCTGAGTCTGGATACAGTCGGTAGGCACAAGATGTCTCGGTAGCCTCACCAGGATCCAACAGCTGAGGAGATGCGGAGTCAGTCAGAGGGCTTCCTCCCCATTGGCTGTCTTGGTCTGACTCCGAGCGCTCTGGATTGAAAGCAGAAAACTGCTGGAGAGAGAAACAGGAAAATCACAGTTTGTGGTTTGATAGGTTTTCTAATAATAAAGCCTGTGCTCTCTTTTTTGATTTAGCTCTGCAAAACAGGCTGTTTATTACCTGTGGGTAGGGTGACACTCTGGCCTTGGCCTTGGCCTGGGTCAGACGTGACTTGGTGCTCTTCCTGTCTTCAGTGTGACTGTTGGCATAGGGGAAGGCTGGCTTGGTGGGGCTCATTTGGTCCAAGGACAGCTGCATACCCTTATACTCAGTGTCCCTTTTGACAAAAACAAAATATATGTTAGAGATAAGAATAACAATTTTCAGCCTTTTTATCCTATTTATCCAAGTTGGGATGTTTTAGTTCTGCCGGTAGCTAAAAAAAACCCTCCATTTAGGAAAGGCGGTTTTAGTCAGTCAACCGCGTTTGTCGAAACTAAAATATCTTAACTACTGGATACATTTCCATGAAGAATTTTGTGGTAGACAAAGCATGAAACATACTGACTTTGATGATGCTTTGATATCTCCCTTAGCACTACCATAGGATTGACGTTTACAGTTTTAAATGAAATGTCCCCAAAACAATTTGGAGGATGAAATTAGTAGCAAACATTCATGCATATTCAAATGAGAATAAATTAAAAACATTAAGACATTGCAATCAGCCAGCTGTAATCGTGTCCTGTGCTTATAACCAAAATATTAACATGCTAACTGCTAAACTTAGATTATGCACATAGTACCTGCTTCAAATGGGCATAATAGCATTGTCATTGTTTCTGTGCTAGCATGCTGAAGCTAGCATTAAGAGCAACCTACTAGCATTGCTGTAAAGACCTTGTTTTGTCATACCGTAACAAATTTAATGAACCACTTAATTTCCAAGCCTCGCTGAAGGACATTTTGAATGTTGTTTGGCGAGGGCATAGCATCACTTGTTCACCTTAGAACTTTTCAAACCTTTAGGCTAGCTTTTTCTCCCCTCATAATCCGAGCACCCTTTTTCTTCCTTAAACAGTCGCCTTGGTTGTAATGTGTCACCTAATCAGTAATTATTCTGCAGCAGACGTCTTGGTCAATATTGAATATAGATAGCTGAGCAGACTTATTTTACAAACAAACTTTTGATGGTATGAATGGTGTCAGGACTATGAGAAGTGAAAACCACTATACAGATAAATTCCAGAGATTGAGTCCTCCCCCTTCTGAGATAAATAACAGGTAACCTGAAGAAAGTTAATAATTCTTTTCTGCCAGAACGGTGCCAGAAAGCAACACAAGAAAATGTGCAAACAGACACACGCACACTATCTCTGCACCAAAGCGTCTTAAATAAAAATCAAGTTTTCAAAGCAGGCGCTCTTTTAACTCATGTATGTGCATGCAGCATGTGCACCATCTTTGACATTTTAACCCACTGTCCTGTGGCTGAACTCAGTCCAAGTGACACTGTCGAGGGAGTGAAAAGGCTCCTGTGTCAAGTGTTCAGCAAACATGAGCCTATTCTTAACTTATCACATCAACAGTATGTAATAGCAGCTGCCTGGCATTTTAAACCCTGTGGCCCATCCCTGACCCTGCACAGCCAGCCTCTTTAATATGACTCTAAATATGACCCATTCTTTATGTACAACACCTTAGGGGAAAGGCTGTGTTTGGATAGCCAGTACACAGTGTGAGTGCTATTTGCTCTTGCAGGTATAGTTGCGGTGGCTGGTTCTGCATCCTATCTGTGTCCTGGCTGACTTATGTCTGAGCCAATAATGTTGGGCCTTTGTGCAAACTCAGCTGTGTTGGCTGAATTCCACCTCAGGGTCAATGTCAGAGCACCTCGTGTCTGCAATACGCCACCAGTCGAGCTCCAAACATGATTTATTAATGGATTCTTGTTTGGCTAAAATGCAGTCGGGGCGAGGTGATTGAATCGCTGTTTGTTTTGTGATGCACTTTTTTCCGTTATTGGTGTTGTTATTGTTCTTTGTGTGTGTGTATGAGATTTGCGACACCTCTGTGTTAGACTAATTGTGCGTTTGGAAATTCACTTTAATGTAGTTGCTTTGTTTTCTCCTTACTGCATTGAAGAAATCAATATTTGAAGTGTTGCCATATGCATGCATGCACGTACAGAGACTCGCACAAACACACCATCTCTTTTTCTCACACACACACACGCGTGAGATTTGGATCAACCAAACCTAACGAGGAAAATACAACATGTGCTACAGCTATGAGATGGCTATTGATTCCTAGTTCACCGTTTGATCGATTTAGCTTCCCTTGGACTGCGGATCGATGGTGACAGTAGAGGTTTTTTGATGGGGTTGAACCGTGATGTTTGTCTTGTCATGTCTCAAAGGGCCCTAGTGTGCTTTGTGCTCTCATAACACACAACTGCCTGAGCCCTGCAGCCGCCGCATTCGGTGGATTTGTACAGAGAGGCTGCAGAGGGATAAAGTGAAGGATTTCTCCAAGAGACAAAGACCCATCACATCATTGAGTGAGCTTCGAGCGTGGATCATAAGAGTCTATGATATGATTGTACCTAATCTAGTTAAATATTCAACGCTGCTCCCTCGGCAAACACATGAAAAATGCAGCTGCGTTTAGACCACAAACATAAAACCCTATAAACCTTGTGTTGTGATTATTGCGTAGCTGAAATTTCAGGGATTTTAGGCCGAAATGCAACACGTGTAATAACTTAGTATCTGAAACACATGATTCAAATAAAATAGTTTCATATGCATGCAAAAATCTCTGGCTTTATAGTAGGACTCACGTGAGGACATAGTTGACACTGACGATACAGTGAGGCCTTGAGGATCGGCTGTTGTGGACGATTGTGGCGTAACTCTGGACCCAGACCCAGCCGCCTTGCTTGGCCAGGAAACGATAATACTTAGTAGTGACTTGGCCTTTTACCAGCACTGACGGAGATGAAAGAAACAGAGAGAAAACAGAGATTAGCGTATTTAACGTGATGCCTGTTTGTTTGTGTGTGATTGTCTGCATGTGGTGGCTGCAGCAGGTTGCCAGAGCAGACAAAAAAAAGGGTCTGTTGTAAAATCATAATGGAGAAGGCTGGTAACTCACAGAGGTGGTGAGCACAGCGGAGGTGGAAGGTGTCACAGCTGTGGACATGATGGTACAGAGTTTTCTCTATTAGGTCCTGGGGCTCATAACCTGTCAGCTCGGCAACCCTGGGAAGGAATTAAGGCGGGATGTTAAAAAATACACTTTCAGGGATATTTCAAATTTGTCTGTAGGAGAAAAGCTGATTTTATTTTGCTGGTATTCTATCTGGAAATGTTGTGAAATGTGTCCAGCTCATTGTACCTGGAGTCCAGGAAGATGAGCTTCATGTCCAGACTGGCTCTGAACATGAACATGTTACTGTGCAGTTTGATTTCCGTCACGGCGCTGGGCGGGAGAGAGTGTCCCACAGCAACCAGACCCACGTTCTGGTAGCAGCCCTCGAAAGGTGACATGTCCAGACTGTACTGACGGATCTTCAGGTAGCCGCTGCAGTGGATCACCTGTGATGAAGCACATAGAGGAGTGAGAATAAATTACACAAAAAAATTAATTCTGCAGAAGCAACATGCACAATCTACATGTCTTTAGTAATCAACAGCAATACAGTACTTATTTTAAAATAATGTAAAATAGTTACCAACTTTAATTTTCTTTATCAGGGACATAGTAATATGATATTTATTATAATATAGAAACAAAGCACAGATATGAAAATATTTAAATTGACATGTTTACACAATCTATTAATTGCAGTTTAATTAATTTCTTAATTAACGCTAAGTCAATTAAACAGTGACAAAACCTCACTACCTACCTTGTATCCGCCGCTGGTGAGGCCTGCGTTTCTCTTTGCCAGCACACATTTCATCCGCAAAAAGAAAGAGCGCTCCATTTCATATTCTGCAGGAGGAACAAACGAATATAAACAAGAGTCCAATCAGAAAGTCGCGTAATTTGCGTAAAAGAAGCACAGACGCTGTGTGTGCATAGTAAAATAGAGACGTGCCAACAGGCCTATGGCGCACTTGCTCATTTCAAATACGAGTAATTACAAAATAAACGCATTAATTTCCATTGCATAAAAAAATGCATGGAAAAGTATAAAGCGATTTTCTGGTTTCAAAATGTATTTGGATAAATGCATTTTTCTCTAATGTCAGACACACGAATTTGTGAAGATTATATTTATTTTGTGTGATAAAAGAAAACCCGATGCATTTATTTTAGCTTCATCCTGCAGCACAGCGAGTTGCAATAAAATCCACAAAAAAAAAAAAGACACGGGCTGCATTGGGGCACACAAAGTGTTTTTACCTTGGACGAAGTGTGAGTAGGGCTGGTGTGGAGTGAGCACAGCGGTCATCTCATCGTGGTCGGCAGGATGGACATATTCATAAATACTGTTCCCAGTCAACTCTACCTGTTGAGATGAGCTCAGGTAAAGAGGCTGTGGAATGATCTTTACAGGGCAGAATAACAGACATGCAGGAATAATAATAATAATAATATTAAATTACACAGACGGACCTGAGACAGTCCTAAATGCACCGACGCTGTCTCTGAGATGTACATGATCTTTCCATCCGGGGCCACAACAAAGATGAATCCGTCCAACGTCTGTAAATAAACGACAAGTGTTCAGTCGTGAAGAGCCTGCATCAGCCTGCTGTGATAGCTGATGAATAAAACTGGAGATGCTCATATACCTGCAGCAAATGAGACCCCAGCTCTCGACCAATGTTGTCCAGAGATCTTGTTCGACTTGTATGACCCCAGGCCTCACCCAGACCTGCACACACATCATACTGTCTGACTGCTGAGCTGCACGTTACAATCAACATGTTGTCTCATTTGTATTAATAATGTACAAAATCTAAGATAATTGTTTGTTA